ACCCTGAGGTTTGATCCAATGGAACCAGAGGTGGAGACTGTAATGAAAATACCCTTCAATTGTTGTAAACAGGATTTGAGTTGTAGGAATTACTGTAACAGGAACCACCTGAACCAATGGAGGACAAGCCTCACAAGAAGCAATGCAAATGGAGCAGTGACCAAACCTGAGCTGGCTTAGGTACTCAGTAACCCAACACATCACCTCTCCTGTCCTGAGTGACCATAGTAAGAGGTGGAGCCCAAAGTCATGGACTAAATTAACTCAATGGACCATCTCACTGGGCTGGAATGATGTCCTGGGTTCAGCTATAACAGTTATTTTTCTCCTTCTTAGTAGCTGGTGCAGTGCTGTGTTTTCAACTTTAGTCTGAGAAAAACATTGATAACACACAATGTTTGTTGTTGCCAAATAGTGCTTACTCTAAGTCAAGGACTTACCACTCTCATGCTTTGCCAGCGAGGAGCAGCACAAGAAGCCAGGAGGAAGCAGAGGCAGGACACCTGACCCAAACTGGCTAAAGGGGTATTCCATACCACAGCACGTCATGCCCAGTATAGAAACTGGGGGTGTTACCCGGAAGGCCCAGATCGCTGCTGCGGTCAAGGCTGGGTATCAGTCAGCAGGTGGGAAGCAATTGTACTGTGCATCACTTGTGTTTACTGTGTTTTTTCCCCCCTTTCCTTTTTAGTTTTATATTCTCTCCCCTTTTTATTTCCCTTATTGTTGTTAATAGTAGTAGCGGTTTTGTATTATATCTTAGTTATTGGACTGTTCTTATCTCAGCCTGTGGGATTTACATTCTTTCGATTGTCCCCATCCCACCCAGGGGGGAAGGAGGAAGGAGGGGAATGAGCAAATGGCTGCGTGGTGCTTAGTTGCCAGCTGGGATTAAACAATGAAAGCATTGCATACAATTCATTTGATATTTTCCCTAAAGACACACAAATACAAAATACAGTGGATGGGAAAAAACATGCAGTGTGACTTGGACAGAGGTCTCGTCTTGAATACACTGATTTTCTAAGTAATTCTGTGCACAGCTACAGGCATTTTAAAAGTTTCCTAAGTATGTGCCATTAAAATAAATGTCATTTCTCCCAGAAGAATAAAAAAAAGCTTTGGAAAACGATTTGTACTTAGAGATGTTCATACCAGCATGATAAAGACATGCATTCTCCCTTCTTCCCTGCATTTCAGCATTCCAAGAAGCACAGCATTTTATCCTGCAGAAACACACACTAAGAATTTCTCCTACTACATTTTTAGAAATTGCTGTGCTCCAATATAAATAATGAAAAACATTACTTTTTTTTTTTAAAAAAAGGGAAAACACAAATGGGACTGGTTACAAATTAATCTTTTTTGGTTGGTTGGGTGGGTTGTTTTGCAGGATCCCCAGTAACCCTCAACCACATCACACTGATGTGAATTTATTTTGTACAAATCTTTCCTTTTCTAAAAGGTATCTTTTTCCTCATGCAGAGTTTTTGAAAAGCAAGTTGAAATCACATTTCCTGAATTTTTAACAATATGCATGCGCCAAGAAGCTGTTTTCCAGGAGCTCTTCCTTCCACATAACATACAGAGAAAAAGAGGCAATTATGCAGCCTTATTCTACGGAGAATACATCTGCAAGCACAACAGAATGACAAAAAAACCTTTTCATTCTAGATGCATAAGAAAAGCCATCAGGCTCTCTGAAAGAGCCACATTTCTTTTAGCAGACTCAGGAACTGCAAAAATACCCTTTTTAAGAGTTGCCCTTCTCCAACATGGGCAAATTTTATCATTGCTTTCAACAGAACAGTAACTAAATTCAGGCACGTACCTGTGCTTCCAAATAAAAGCAAACTCTTCCCCACTCAGCTCAAAGCACCAAAACCAGGCTTATGCACCAACTCTCCCTCCAAAGGCATCAGTCCCTCAGTTCTGAGCTCTTTTTCTGTAACTAGCCACTTCTTTATCTCTTGGACAGTCTGAAGTCACACAGGCCATTACCTCCACCCCCTCAATGAAAGTAAGTCACAAACAGAAGGAAAAACAAGAGACAAAACTCAACACATTAATAATATTCTCAGTGTAGGAAGAAAAAGCATTGAACAGATGGTCAGAGTAACATTTTAGTAGATACAGATCTAATGCTTAGAGGAAGGAAATAAGCTGTCTTAGAGACCAGCACTGTAGTCTCTTAACACACTCACACACAAAGCTTACCACAAAACCAAAAACCCAAAGAAAACTAGACTAGTTCCAAACCTTTGTTCCTAAACCCACACAGTAAATTCTGAGCTCAGAATAAAGGGGCTTGTAACTTAACTTCTGTTCCACAGGAAGAAGATATCCTCAGATGAAGAGTTAATCATATCTGACAAGATCAGAGGCACTGACCACTGACACATACAAGAAGTTGCATATTAAAGCACTTCTGCCTTTGTTTTCTTGCTGTCAGCTACCAGTATGCAAAGCTAGATCAACAGAATGAATGAGGAAATGTTACACAAACTTCACAGCACATACAAGCACATCCAGTCAGATTTTTGAGGCCCACAAAAGACACCTAGAGCTGCTATTCTGAACAGAATACAAATCTAGTGGAGAGGACCCATCTGCTCTGAATAACAGTTCTCCTGGCACACTCCCTTCTTTCCCTGAAAGAGGAGTCAACTTTGCAGGATACTGGCAAACCAAACAGCCTCCACAAAACACTTCCTGCCAACGCCTTAAAGAAATCCTAAAGCATGACACTTGACTGATAGCATATCAGATCTATGGAACAGGGATAAGGCACCTAATGCACTTGTAGCACTTGAGAATAACCCATCCTACTACTCAACTAGCTCAGAACAGCAGAAGTGTTCTAACACAGACCCCTTGCACCACTTTTTTTATATTAACTTGAAAATGAAGTCCCACTTGAGGCCAAATATCCCCATTAGGTATCATTTTAGATCTGTGTAACAAGACTTGCTTTCTGCAGCTTCCACCACACCTGCTGAATGACAACAGAAACAGGACACAGGGTAAGAAGTGGCTGGTATGCAAACAACCCCTGAAGAATGTCACTGTTGAGGCAGTTAAGTGTTGCCCAGTATCTCAGTTAGAAACTTCCTGTCATGCTTGACAAAGACAAGCCACATCTGTTCTTTTCACAGGAAGCCACCAGCTTACACGTTCCTCATGGTCTAAGCTGGTACCTTGAGATCTGCTGAACACAGGTTTTAAGCTGTCGCAGTTGCTAACTCAGTTACTGGGAGCCGTGCATGAAGTATAATGTGTGATGTAGTAATTAGAAGGTTCAATGCCCTGACCTCATATGAACATTTTGAAGATAATGTTTTGGTTTGAGTGTTTAAGTTTTTTGTTTGTAAATTAAAACCTGCAGTAGATAAGACAACAGAAATATATCAGGAATTTGTTCCTAACTTCAATAACATAAAAAATAAAACAATAACATTTGGTCTACTTTAATACCAACATCCACAGAAAAAACCTGATGCAGCATGACCTAGATAAGTGAAGAGTAAAGTGAATCAAAAATTTGTTAAGCTGCCATGCAAAGGGACGTGACCAACAGCACAAAGTCCAGCTGAAAAACCAGTTGCTAGTGGAGTAACCCAGACATCGATACCTTGCACCAGTGCTGTTCAACAGTACTTGTCCTATCAGAAGAGGGTCTATTAGATGCTCCAGTCCTACAACGACCTCTGGCTGTGTGATGGACTCCATTCTTGCTTGTACTGGAGAGCCCAGAACCAAACACAGTACTCCAGATGCAGCCTCAGCAGTGTGGTGTAGAGGAAAAGGAAGACTTCCCTCAACCTGCTGGCAATGCTCTTCCTAGTACCACCCAGGACACTGTTAGCCTTCTACTGCTGTGAAGGTACACTGCTGGCACATGGTCAGCTTGTCTGCCTGAGCCCCAGGGCCCTTCTTACCAAAGCTACTTTCCAGCTGCTCAGTCCTAGTACGTACCAGCACTCGGGCTTATTGTTCCTCAAATGCAGGACTATTCTCAGAGGTATCCAGTGACAGGCCAATTCATTTGAAACATAAAACAACTGTAAGAGTGGTCAAATACTGATACTGGTTGTCCAGAGAGACAGTGGAGCCTCCACCCTTGGAGATACAGTGCCTGATAGCCCTGTGCAACCTGCTGTAGCTGACCCAAATTTGAGCAGCACCATTGAACTAGGTCCCTTCCAACCTGAACTGTTGAACAATTCTAAGATTCGGTGGATGTACAAGCAACACGAGAACATGATCTTAATTATATTCCATTACAGTAAATAACATTGAAGGAATTAGCCAAAATTAAGACTGTTTTATGCATAATTTCCGAGTATCTGACAAAGCTCCCAAATTATAACTCCTTAATTACTCAGTTTTGTGCATTTGTTAGACAAAATGTGACAGAGATTCATTTTTCTTCACAAAATAAGTAAAATAATAGCCTTCTTCAGTAAGTGCTGAGAAGATGTAGGTTTCGCCAATACACTCTTTGAAGTACTAGTCTTTACTACTGTTGTATAAGGAATATTGTGGCAATAGTTGTATTTTTCATCTCCACTACCTAACAAAGTTGACAAAAAAAATTAACACTTGCAGTTGTCATTTACAATCCTCATACCGACTAATCAAGGAAAACGCCACTTAAATGAAAAACACAGCACTGAAACTCAGTACCCAATCCACTTATAAAAGTTTTAAAGCAGTAGAATGAAAAACCTCCACATAAAACCATAGAATGGTTTGGGTAGGAAAGGACCTTAAGATCATCTAGTTCCAACCCCTTGCCATGGGCAGGGACATCTCGCACTAAACCATGTCACCCAAGGCTCTGTCCAGCCTGGCCTTGAACACTGCCAGGGATGGAGCATTCCCAGCCTCCTTGGGCAACCCATTCTAGTGCCTCACCACCCTCACTGTGAAGAACTTCCTTATATCTAACTCAAACTTCCCCGTTTAATTTGAACCCCAGAAACATAGTTTGAACCTACCTTTCTGCAGTAATTTGATCTCTCCATTTTCTTTCTTGATTTCATTCATTATTTTGTGCTTCTTCTTCTCTTTTTGCTTCTTTTCCCTTTCTTTAATTTTGTCTTTGATTTGAGCTGAAATGCAAATATTTTACATTTAAGTAGGAACAGAAAATTAATGGTCACGTGCATGTTTCATATTACTCTTATGTAAGCTCTATTAAGAGGATAAAAGGTGAGCTCCGAGGAAATCCCTGTACTTAAATATGAAAAGCTGTTGCATAATCCAGCATAAAATTATTTAACTTAGGCGAGCTCTGCTTCTATTGTATATGCAGCAACTCAGCATGTTAACTGTCTACAGTTAATTTTCACAGCTAATTTTTGCTTACTCCTACTACCCACAGCTCTTCTTTTGCATCTGTAGCCAGCTTATTTTATTAAGATTTAAATTACACGTATTAGATAAGGAATGGGGAAAGGAGCATGGTTCTTATTTTCCTGGATGCACACATACACTATCATACACTATCACAACCTCACATAGTCTAAGCTTAAGGCTTTTACAAGTAGCTTGGAATGAAGGCTTCATTTGTCTGCTGCAAAATCTTTTACACTAAGGTCACAGGCTACACTAATGCATTCATAGCAGCAAGATGTAATTAACAGAAACACATGAAGTGTGCTGTATTTGCACAGCAGATACAATGCACTGGTGCTTCCCTTGCTTGCCTATAATCAACAACAGTCTACCAGAGCAGTCTCATTATTTATTTACTTTCTTGTCAAGTCACTCCAGGTTTTTCAATTTTGACACACAAAAGGAGAGCCTTTAGGCAGACTTTCCACATGAACAATACTAGACCCAGAGGAATTCATAATTTCAACAAGTAATCTTTTCAAGGCCAGTCTAATTCACTTTTGGGGACAGGCATTTAGGGAAGCCAAATTTTACTAGGCTTAGGTGCACTGCAGCCAGCACTTCATGCCCAGCTTCTTGGGCTGAAGCCAAGTACCTGCTCCAAGAGTTTACTGGGCTTTTTAACCTTTGCTGGGAAAGAAGAACTATGATTTCAAGCTTCTACGTAATGTTATGCTTCAGAATGCTTTCTCAGTAATACAGCTGAGAGACTATCCTGATGTTTTATTTATGGTACTTGCATTATAAACCCCATGTGGAAGCAAAAAGAAATCAAATTACATTTTCTCAAGCATTTCCATAAAATAGAAGTGGGTATATTCACTACTAAAAAAAAAAAAAAAAAAAAAATTCAGAAATATTCCTCAGAACCAAACCAAAGCAAGCTTTCAATTCTAGAGGACAATACAATGTTCCATAACCACACTATTTACGAAGCATGTTAATAGTTAAACAAAAGGTTCAAAGGGTTGACAGTAAACCACATAAATGAATGCACAACGACTCCACAGTATTCCTATCTTTCATTTTAGGAGTTGTCTAAGCAAGGCTACAAAACATGAACCCTAACAGTTGTTAGGATGAAGAACATATTTTGGGAAGAGCCTAAGAAAGAAAATAAAAACCAAGAGAGATGGTAATTGAGATATGTTTGTTGTCTATCCACAAATCAAGATGAACAGTGGGGAGAGAACAGAAACTATGCTGGCACAAAAATAAAAAGGAATAAGGTAGCTGTGTTTAAAACTGTCTGGAAGTCTTAGTTCTAAGCAACTGAATATCCAGGAACAGCCTTCTAACAGTTCAATGAGAAGGGATGACAAAGCAGATTCATCTTACAGCAGGCCATGGAATTCAAGCAAGTTTTCCTAAGCAAAACAAACACGTGCTTTCTAGGAATAGGTTAAGCAGATGTGAATCTTCCTCTCTAGCCTCCTTCTCCCCCAAAAGAAATCCCCAAATTGTAAATCCCCTGCAACTTAAAGAGCATGAAGTAGGAAATAAATTATCCAACAGGAGTTTAAGTAACATTCTGAAAGCAGACACTCAGCAAGGGGGCAGTAACATCAGGCTTGATTTGTAACCTGCACTGAATGTTCAACTCTGCCAGGATTATAATTATCATGGAAAGACCTAGACCTTATCTCAACATTTGCATACTGTTAAGAGGCACACTTGACTTCTGCTATCACTTACAAATCAAAGAAAGATTGAAGAGCATATACAAATGCTAAGCCTTGTTGAAAGAGGAAGAAAGACAGACTGAAAGAATCCTTTATTGCAGGCTCATGAATAGCCTCCCAGGCTAATGAATCTTCCAGTTTTGTCAGAAGCAACACATAAGTAGGGATAGAGAACAAGCTGAAACCTTTTAGAAAAGCTTCTAGTTTATTTTCACATCTAGAAAGCAATTAGCAGAGTCAGTGGTGAAATGTTCCAGACAAAAGAAAATATGGAAGTGTCCCATGACTTTCTCCAGTAACAGCCACAAGCAAATCATACCTGAAGCAACTGCAAATACAATGTAAATGCAGCTGAGGAAGATTTGAAGTAAATTAAACTTAACTATTTCCCTTTTAGAAATCACAGTACTGTAACAAAACCATTGTACAGCCTGAGGGAAGTAAAGAACCTGAGGCAAGCTGAGAATCCCAATTTAAATGTACAAGTTCTCAGGTTTCCTCCCCCAAAGCCCACAGAATAGATTAGCAATAGATGGTGTTCTCCTTAAAAAAAGGCTTAAACAAACACTGAAATAGGGGGGAAAAAAAAAATCAATATAATAATCTATGTCAATATGAGAGTCATTACATGGATTAACACTTGGTTTTAGGGCTCAGTTCAAACGTCTTCAGCTTCTGAGTAAGAAGTATTTCCTACCCTAGCTGGCAAAACAAAACACAATTCTCAAACCAAATTCTGCAGATGATTCTCCTCTGTGACAGATATTCCATTTCACAGCTTTCAATGGGATGCAGAGAGAAAAATCAACCAAATTATTTTAGGATTCAGTTTACCACAAGAATCTATTGCAACTTAACTATGCCAGCTCTGCAAAGTCAGTAAACTTAGAAGCATCCAACGGCCATCACAATCAATAAATGTGATTAAAATATGCCCATGGCAGAGATACCCAACAAGGAAGGGCAAGTGTAATTCTCCAAGTACAGTCTTTACACTAACTGCTGCCACCATATCATGCTGCCCAATAAAGCTGATACAATTCAACATGGGCTAGAGCTCTTTGGGGCTTCCCAAAATGCCACTGACCAGTATCTCTCCAAGTGTCTTCAGTAATATACGGTATCAATCCCCTCCAGCTATACATAATTGCAGTCCAAATCTCACTCAACCAAAAAACATGAAAATTCTTCACAAAACCCTGTTCTAGAACAAATTCCTCCAACATTAAGTAATTTACAGTCTATGTGTTGTAGAATAAACAACCAGTAAGTGAGGCTGACATGGGAAAACTCGTTCTGTTGGACAAGTTAAGAGCATTTGGAATGCTCTTATACAGCTTTGAGGTCTACCAGTAGCAGCTACTACTGATCCAAAACCTGAGGTCATCTTTCCATGCTCACAGAATATTCTGCAGTTAGCTTTCACCAGTGCTGCTTCTAACAAATTAAAAGAAAAAGGCATGAGCTGCTGAGGGAACAGGATGAGATGAGTCCCCAGGGAAATAAGGCAACTCAAACGGTCAGTGATCTGGACAAGGGAGCTTCAAGTACCAACAACTATTCCCTCGGTATGTCACAGCATTGCAATCGCCACTGGAATAGCTTCAATTTTTACAGTTATTAAAAAAATGAAGGTTCAGAAAAGCAATTAATGAACTTAAGTTTCGTATGATGAAGGAAAGCTTGCTGAGTGCAAAGTAAGGTGATGGGGCAGTTTGACTCAAACAGGGAAGAAAAGTTTCAGAATTAAGACCTTTTTATAAAAAAGAACAATATATATAGATGTACCAGTGACTAGAAGCTGAAGTGTGACATCCCTAATCCATAACATAGTACAGGTTTTTAGGTTGAGGGTGGTTTGTTTTTTTTAGTAAACAAAGGCGCAAGTTAATCACAGAAACAACAAACAGTTGTGGTCTATTATTGGAACTTCCTCCACAAGGGTTTGAGTATTTGGTTTTGGTGTTTGTCTGGTGGTGGGTT